GCAAAAGGAAGTCATTGATGTTTTAAGTGGGAGTGTGAAACAATCTAATAAAGTTTTTATACAATAAATTTCTCTAGATCGTGGAAAATAGATTTAACAGGAGCCAGGAGTGAAAACAGGCAGAGTGCTGAGAGGCTATTAGAGGAGACAAGACAGGAAGTGTTGCAGGCTCGGACTAGGATGGGAACTGTGGAGACAGAAGGTGCTGGAAGGATTTGAGATGCATTCTGGAGGGAGAAGCATGCCAATGATTTGGGGTTCTGGCAGGAGTGGGGGAGGGAGACACCAAGAATGACTTCCAGGTTTCTACCTTGAGACCACGTGTGTATTGGTGCCATTTTCTGAGATGGAGAGAATCAGTACGTGCTCTAGAAATTTGGCCTCTACCTGGGTTTCTAGAGCACCTACTCTGTGTTGGAGACACTCCCTGCTCCTGAGAAAAAGGGGGTTTATCCAGATTCTTGACTCAGCCAGCTAGACAGGCTCTTGTCTGGCCACATGGAAGGGGGGGGCATCCCAGGGAACTTTGGTGGCCATTGTGTCAGAAGGTCCCCTTCCTGTTCATCCAACTCCAACCTGTGCTCCTCAGATTACAAGTTTTTTAAACATCAAAACTGATCTGGAATCAACTCCAGAAAAGGAAGAAACTTAGTTTCCCCTGTAACATGACTTAAAAATAATGAAGATCATGGCAAACAGGATTTTCTTTTTCCTTTGGCCAACAGGAAGCTTAGCTGTAAATATGTAGCTCAGCTTCATAACAGTGTAGTTTATGGTTTCCATAAATGCTTTCTGGTTTTCTCCTAGATATTGATTACCTCCACTAAACATCTGTCATCATCTGCTCGGTGAACCTGGATTGGTCTGGCCGTGATTGTGTCCTGTCATCTGTGATTCGACCAAGAATAGATGTTCGTGCAAAGCATGGCCGAGTCATTCAGGTTTCCTGGATGGGATATTTGAGCCAAGGCAGGTGGAGTGGATTTTCAATTAATCATTGGAGTGGATCAATATGCCACCAGATCCCCGCTTCACAAATGAGGCATTTCCTCTCAGTGGAGGGGGTTTGGCTGCTGAAGGTTCTCAACTGAATTCGCTGAGAATTACATTTTTACCCAGAGTTGTCCAAACTCACACCCCTTCCAGAAGGGTAGCCCATAACCAGTGACTGATATCATAATCCCAGCACAAAGACCCAGCACCCTAAGCTCAAGGCACCCCAGCTCCAGAACTTTCCCTGGGATGAAACTTTGTTGTAAAGGCATTGCAACCCAACTACTACACTGGCGTATAGTAGGTGCTCAATAAATACTTGTGGATGAGTGATGGATGATATTAATCTCTCTGTCACACAAAAATGTTCTGATGAGTCTGGGGGGGCACAATCTCTGGGTAAATACTTTGAGGGTGCAGTGTTGCACCTATCCTCCCAATATGCCCCCATTGTCTCCCTGGCCCCTCATGCTTTGGCTGCTTCTGCTTTACTTTTTCCTAGGGCAGTGAGCAGTAGAGAAGGGACTGCTTGTCATCAGTATGGTTGTGTTGGAATAGAGCCATGCCCATTGGCATCAGTATTACCTGTGGCTGCTTTGGTTTACAAAAGCTGGATTGAGAATTCACAACAGAAATTGGATGATAAGAGAAGAAAGAAAATATCTGTTCTCTGTTTGCTGACCCCTCCTGGAGAGAATGCACAAGGTAAGAGTTCCCTCCAAGAAGGAGGTTATTCCTTCCCTGGGTCAGAGTCTAGACCCAGTGAAAGCAGAACCCTGTCATCTCTTTGGTTCTGGGAGCTCAGCACACACGATCCCATAAAAAGATTTCGCTGATATAAAAGTCGGTGTGTTTTACGAAGTTCCACTCGACACCAGCCTCTGCACTAAACATCTTCCTTTATGTTTTTTTAGCTCTCGTACCTTCGAGTCACGCCGTGAAGTGGGAACTATTTTATCCCTATTTTACAGATGAGGAAACCGAGGCTTAGAGAGAGTCTGTGTCTGGCCCATAGTCACACAGCAGAGCTGGCTCCCCAAGGCCTGCTGCAGTGCAGGAAGCTGTTCTTAAGCCTTGGACAGGCCCCTGTAGCCCAGGACATGGCCTGACTCACCAGGTGGTAGACTGCCCTCCCCATCAGCAGGTGGCCCGACACCCGAAAAAATGCCCATCAGAACAAGGAGAGAATGGACCGATGGGATAGCAGCCCAACCCCCACCCCGATGAGGGCCAAGGGCATTTGGTAGGATTTGAAAAACAGAGATTCCAGGTAAATTTGTTCCAACTCCCCAGGTAAGACTCACTACAGGATACGCTGCTCTTCTGTCCTCCCAAATTAAAAGGATTAAGTATCTTTTAGAGAATTCGCTCCTTTAGGGCTGCCTGTGCACATTTATTCAATTTCACATCATCGTGACAACAAAACCAGAGAAATAAGACGACATGTGGGAGGCCATTGGTTATCACACGTACCTGGTCGCCGGATCACTTTTGGCTGAAATAAAGGGAAGATTCCATGTCAGGAAAATGAATCCGGATGAAAAAGAGGAACAGCAAACTCCCAGGGTCACTTCCTGTCGACACAGGAAGAAGAGCTTCAGGCTTGTTTTCTGGGAAGCTCTCCACAAAGTCAGCAGGTCACTAGATCACGCCAGGCCAGGGGCGGAAAGAAATGCCTACGTCACTTGAGGGGTGATGGAGTGATTTCACCTGCCTGAGATTTTCCATTTCTACCCTTTGGTGTCTGTGCAGACAGATGCTGTGAAGCCTGCGACTCTGAAGCCGGGAAGCAGCAACCTGAATCCCGCCGGGTGCTTCTCGGGCCGGCTCTGGAGCAGATGACCATCTCCAGGGTCCTCCTTCCACACCCACAACCAGCCGGGCCGCTGTCCCCACGATCATCACAGAAACCCCCAACTGCAGGGCTTCTATGCTATCACCTTCTTTCATTCTTTTTCACACTTATCATGCACTAAAAATCACTCATTTACTTTTTCATTGTCCCCTAGTTCCCCTCAGCCAGAACGAGCACCTTAAGAGCAAAGTTCGAGTCCCCAGCCCCAAAGCCCGGCTCAAGGCAGAGCGTGGTGAATATTTGATGAATGGAATATTTGCAGTGCTCATGAAGAACTTGGAGTGTGTTCAAAATTTCACAAATCCTTTACGTCTTCACATCTATTTTGCTTCTCATATTGAGTTGGTGATGCTATCTAAGGCACCCAGGTTATAAAGCATCTAACCATCTTTTTTGAATGCTGAGTAATAACTATAAGAAAGTGAAAATCAAAATCAACAAAAACTATGAACCAAAGACACTCGGGAGGGGAGGGATTGGGGTCAGAATGGGGGGATTGCAATTGTATGGGGAAGCATCTAACCATCACTTTCATAAAGTGGTGATTTATTTGTCATTCATTCATTCACAATGTCCTTTCCAGCACCTGGCACGGGCCAGGTGAGTGTCAGGCACCCAGGCCAGGAATTCAGTGGTGAGCCAAACCACCTAGGGTGAGAGTCAGCTATGAAGGAGGCTGCGAAGCAGGCAGGCAGTGGCAACCTGGATCCCTGCTAGGGAGACACAGGCAGGATTTCCAGAAGCGCTGTTTGGGCTGAGACCTGAAAGAGGCATTAATCAGGTGAGTTAACTAAATGAACTCACTGAAAAAGGATTCAGATTACAGTTAAGAACAGGGTGAGGGCTGGAGTAAGGATTAGGGGAAGAAAGGATCAGGTAACCTTAGAGACAAACTTTCCAGTAGAAGGCATGAGAATCTGTCTATTGCAAGGAACAGGGGGGTGGTGACTGGGGGTGTGTGGATGGCTGCCTAAAATAGGGTGGAGGCCATATGAGTGGAGTGAAGGAGATGTAGTGGGAGGTATTTAGGGAATAAAATGGCTGGCCTTGGCTTGCCCCTCAAGGCCCATCTGCTGGCTGAGGCATAGAATTTGGCCTCTCCTGGGCTGGTACCAAGGGGACCCTACTTAGCAAGCAACCTGGCTTCCGAAGGTGGAAGCAGGCACTGAGCATGTTGTTGCCAGATAGGGATTGAAGAGGGGTGAGCAGGGGCTCTGTTGAGCTCGCCCCTCAGTCAACAGCAGGGTTGCAGAACTGGGACTAAGGGCTGAGGCTGGAGGACTCCTGGGCCTTGCTTCGGTCACTGTGGGCAGTCAGGTGTCCCCAGGTACTGGAGAGGATGTCTATTCAAGATCAAATGTGTCCACAAGAATCCAGGTTCATAGATAACACTTGCTTTCTATAGCCTACCTGCTCCCAATGTTGCTAAATAAGTAACAGTAAATAGGAAACAAAGTAAATAGGAAATAATTGGCCCCAACTATGAACATCATGGGTATTATTTCCCCCTTGATCAAAGAGAGACTCCAATGAAAGGGAAAAAAATAATTAAAAAGTAAAAACCTTATGTAATGAGATTTAAAGGAAAACTTTTGAAGCCAACAAGCAACCAAGGGCAATACTTCAAAGGATCCAGAATCAATGTTTGTCAATAGCAGTTTTGCATCCTTTAATTTATCTTTCATGAATGTAAAACGTGATGTTATCAGGGGCCCATCCATGCCTTAATTCTGTTTGAGATTTGATGAATCAGAACTCTTATTAGCATTCTGTCCGAATCAGCAATAACTGAGGCATGTGACAGAAGCCTCACCTGCTCTGGGACTTTCTCCCTGCACCTGGGATGCTAGTTAACCATCAGGTCTTCTGCGTTGAAGGTCCAGCAGCACCCCAAGTTCACCCAGGAGCTGGCGGGGGCGAAGGGGGGAGGGGAGTCTTGATCTCAGAAACTTTCTTTGACGATCTTCTCCCTAGAAAAGAAACCTCCCCATGAATTAGCCCAGCCCCAAAGTTACCATTTGTTTAATCAAGATAGTTGGTTTGCAAAACATTAAACATTAAACAGTATTTGATGCCTAGTTAATAATTTGCATCCTCTTCATTTGTTCCTGAATCCTTGGAGACTTGTAGCGCTCCCCCCTAAAGGCACAAACAAGGAAAGATATTGCAGTTAGAGGAAAACAAGAGTCCCTCAACTGCAAACATGCGGGCCCAGAGGTCCGATCTCCGTGTTCTGCTGATAATGGTTCTGGCAGGAAAGGCAGCCTTTGGGGTAAGTGTTCTTTCCAAATATCTGTACTTGCGAGATGCTGAGGTTATTAGGACCAAAGCAGCTGAGAAAGGAGAAACGAGGAATCTCGCTGATGCAGGCCTGAACACGGGTGCTGCTTAGCAGCCACGGCCATGAAAATAGGCAATGGGCTGTACCCTCTGCCCTCCCGGAGCGGGCTTCCCACAGTAGTCCCCAACGAAGTTCAGTGGGACTAGGAAATCTGCCAAGGCAAGCGTGTGGGTTGTGATCAGCACAGGCCTCCGAGACCCCTTGGCGGAGCCACTGAAATCGACCAGTCACTCCTGGCACATGCTGACCCACAGGCCCACTTACCCACTCGGGAAAGAAACACTGAGCTTTGCCCTTAGGGAGACTCCTACCGGCAACACATTTACTAAGGTGGGTGCAAGTCAAGAGAAGCTTGTGGGTGGCACTTTTTCTCTTTTCCCATCGTGACCTTGGTGGAGGGGAGGTGAGCAGGAGGCCAGGGGTGGTCGTGCTGAGTGGGAAAGGGAAGTGCCATCGAGGGGTTCTATCAGGAGAGATGAGTTTGGGGGTGCTGGCTCCCGCTGTGTGCCCTTGGGGACTATGCGTGTTCATTGTGCGTGTTCGCTGGATCTCACCTGTACCCGAGAGAGGGTTTCCCATGACAATAAAGCCTCCCGGGGTTTCCCACTGGACATCGTTTACAGGCATGAGGACTGGCTGTGGAGCAGGGCTTGAGTCTCAGCTCTGCTGCAGTTGGGCTAGGCGCGCTGGGCAAGCAACGTAATCGCTCTGAGTCTGTCCTCCAGGGCAAGCCAGGTGACTGTAGTTCAGATTTGGGGGCGGTCACAGATTTGCAATGAGGCAATGCTCATGGCTTTCTGTACATGTTAGCTCTTCTCCCTTTATAATTTTCTTTTAAAAAAAAAAAGATTTATTTTTTATTTATACAAAAGCTGGGGTACAGGCCAGAGGCGCGGGAGGGTGAAAGGATTCAGAGACAGAGTGGGGAACATAACAGTCAGATCTACTGAAATACACTGCTGAGGGGAGCAGTGGGCGAGACAGGAGAGGTCTGCTGCGCCATGTGGGCAGCTCCCCGACTGGCCGAGGATTGAACTCATGCTGCAGAGGCTGCGGACTGCTTCACAACGCTGCACTCAACCCGCTGTGCCACAGGGGTAGGCCCTCCCCTTATATTTTCAACTTCTCTGTAAAATCAGAGAACGCGCCCCTTTGTTGGCAGGAGGGGTAAGAAAATAAGCAGGGGATGGAAACAGAAATTACAGCCGTAACCTCTTTATCTTATTAAATACCTTTGCATTTCATTTCCCATTTTACTCCATAGAGCTTATCCTGCAGGATAAGCAGATTAAATTCCAGATTTTCTATTTTAAAAACAACAGTGCTGTAAGCTATTCTCCCTCCTTTCGTAAGCTGTGCTCCAATACTTACCTGAGCCCTGTATTAAGCTGCTAAGCAACTTGCTCTGAAAGAGTTTTCTTTTCCAAAGTTGACTTGTGTATGTGTGGAGTGGCTGCAGTTACAAATTGTAAGCCAGCCCCCTACTTCATCTGGCTGCTCATCTGATGTCTGGGGCCAAGAGCCAGAAGAGGCTAGAGAAAGGTGTGGGAATAATTAGAGCCCATAAAGACCCGGAGAAAGTTCCAGCATAGGGAGAGTGAGATCCTAAACCTGATGGGCTAGGAGAAATGATGCAGTCTGTTTGAGGATCCTCACCAAAAGATAATGGTCCCCCCAAATCCCTTCTTTGCAACCCCCAGTGAATTTTTTGGGTTAGCAATGAAATCATAAGTCAATAATGGATAAAAGAGAAACTATAAGAATTAGCCTTTAGGCAATGAGCTTAGTCAATTCCAAAGAGAGGATTCAGAGCTTTGGAATGTTTTCTTACCCCAGATGTGGACTAGACAGGTGGTTGGGAAGGCGGCTCACTCGTGTTCCACAGGCCAGCACACAGACATCCAGGGGAAAGTGGCCAACTTGTTCAGATGCTTTGGAGAGTTTGGGGCATCATTGGTGGGGAGAAGGAGCCACATAGCCAGATGGGCTGGGCAGTCTCTTCTGCCCCACAAAGCTAAAAATAATAACCAACACTTACCATTTAATGAGTAATCGTGTGTGCCAGGCTCTGAGATTTTGATGGATGGATTGAGAAGTTCATTGCTGGAAGGACTCTAAGAAGTAGATACTTATGTCTTTGTTCCCATTTTTTTATAGAGAGGGAGCTTGGACACTTGGCCTCTAGCTATACAGTTGGGAAGTGGCAGAGCTGAGCTCTAGCCTACCAGCTGGGGTCTATATGTCCAACTGAGGTTTCTTGCCTTGGGTCCTGGCTAAGGATGAGATTTCTTTGGTCCCCAGAGCTTCAGGAGCCTGGTCTTTCCCTCCTGTAGGGACAGGGGCATGCTATCTGCCTGTCTGTCTGCTGAGTGGCGTGTAATGGACTTCATGTGTCTCCGAAACTTTTGAGAGAAGCAGGCACAGGGCCTGTGATGACTGCTCATTGGGAAGATGCTCGACGCATTCCCATGAGTTCAGGTCACAGAGGGTTGAGGGGACCTGATGATGGCGTCTCTTTGGGCTTATTTTCAACATAGTCATTCAGATACCCTCTCTCCCAAGAGGTGTAGATCAGGTAATATGGCTGTGAATTCCAGAGAATCATTCATAGTGCCTTCAGCTCAGTCCTGATGGTTATCCCCGTTTTATGGATGAGAACCAAGCCAAGGCATGTTAAACGACCTTCGCAGCAGGATTGAGACGCAGATCCATAGGTATTCCTACTAGTCCAGGCACCCACTCCATGTGTAAGGGTGCATGCCACCCCCAGGGCTTAGTGTCACTTCTTGCTGTGGTCGTTAAGGTGGTTTAGACCTCTTGCAGGGTCAGGAGCTAGAGGAGAAGGCTTGTCTGGCCTGGCCAGCTTCTGCTCATTACAGAGAGGAGAGAAGACAACACCCTCCCTCTCCCCAACAAGGGACCTCACAATTAAAATGCTTGTTTGCTCCCATTTCTGGACCTTTTCAACCCAAGATCTTAGAATTCTCCCAGGTAAGAGCAGCCAGCCTGTTTGCATAGACCAGAGGTTGCAATTGGCAGTGTGGATTTCATTCCGTTCACAGCCTAAGTTTTATTTGGCAGGTGGACGCTTAGCCTGAAGAGTACTTTAATTTCCTTGTAATTGCTTGGTGACATTTGAAAATCAGAACTCTTCATGTAAAAATACAAGTCTCTAGTTTTTCTTGACAACCAGGCGTTTTGGTAACACCGAGCTGTTGCTCTTTCAGGACAGCAAGGAGACGATCTACTGCTTCCAATTTTGGGAGAGAATTAGCCTCTCAGGAATATAGGGGAACAAAATAAGGAATCTGGAGGGTGGGGGGAAATAAGTATAATAAATTCAAAAACAAAATCAACAGGCAACTATAAATTAGAGACATTCTGCAGGGGGGGCGTAGGGAGAAGGATCAAAACTGGGGAGGGAACAGCACAAGGGACTCTGGTGATGGTGACAGGTGAATTGGTGGTGGGAATTTTACAGGGACTACACTTGAGAGGAGAAAGCATGCATTGTACAAAAATGCAGAATGATGTAAAATATGTATAAAATAAAATTTAAAAAAAGAAACAGCCTCCCAGATCCACAGTCCCCACGCCTTTCTATTGTCCACACCCTTTCTGTTTGACTAATGTATATGCCTCTCTGGCTCTACCTTGGAGTGAGAAAGCTACAGAGAGAGGCAGGAAGAGAGGAGAGATTGGTTATTGTTCAGAAACACCATGGATGGTGAAGTACTGGGGCAGGCGAACAAGTGGGCTTAGCAGAAGATAACCGGAGCATCCAAGCTGCATGGGCTCCAGGACCAAGAAGGTCTTTGACAGCAAGATACCAGCCACTCTTTCTAAAGCTTCCATATTCCAGAATGTCCAAGTCTCCTTTGGGGCGGGAGAAACACCCCTCTCTCCTGCTGTAATCCACACCGCGTCTTAAGGAAAAGAGAGGGCCTGCCTTTCCCTACAACTTCCTAGCAATAAAAAAAAAAAAGGAAGGAAGGAAGAAAAGAAAGATGAAGGCAAGTCTAAGGGCAAGTCCAGCTCATTAGCATCGGCAGTGTACAGTGGCATTTAGGGAAATCAGGTTGCAGGGAGTCGTGTGTGCACAGGCACAGATATATTTTTATATTTTAAATTCATTAGGGTTCCCTAAATGCAAAAGCAATTCTGCTGTCACAGAGAAATAACATGGCAGCCTATTTGGCAGCCGGGATTTTAAATAAAACATGCTCTTTCTTCATAATTAATATAACAAGCCTTCCTGGCTTAGGACTTGGCAAAGATCCCAGGAGAAATGGGGGTGGGGTGGGAGAGAGGGTTGCTGTGACGTGTCTGTGACCCGACAACTAAGTTCCAGGAAGAGTTTGTGCTGAGGGAGGCTCCTCAATCACTCTATGATTTGCAGAAAAAGAAAACTCATGGCAAGAGCGGAACCATCCCAGCAGGAGGCAGTTCCTGAGTTTACTGAGTCTTGACCTCCTTACCATGTCAGGCGCATCTGCTCTCTTACCAGGGCATCCCCACCACCTTGTAGGTCAGGACCCTGTCACGCCCATGTGACAAAGCCCTAGAGAACTCACACAGAAGAAGCTTACAAACCAAGCTCTGGAGAAGTCACAGAACCTGCCCCAGGAGCTTAAGCAGCGCAGGGCTTTGAATCCAGGTCTCCTCCCCTGGGGCCGTGCCTGTGGCCACCATGGTGTGTATAGATCGCCATGCCAGGTGCTCCCTGAATAAACGAGGCTGTTCCACTTGGCTGGTGGGCAGAGGTGGGGGAGGTGTCAGAGGGGCCACGGCCTCAGATGCCAGCCTCCTGCAGGAGGGGAAGTAACTCCTACCCTGTGGCTCCTCCAGCAGCCCCTGCAGGGTTTCTTTCCAAACTAGAAGGACAGTCTTGCTAGAGAGCTAGCAATGCTGTCCATGTTTTTAAAACCAAA